ATTAATTCGTCAAAATAGTAATAATTATTATTACTTGGGGATTCAATCGGAGTATACAATGAGATAGCGTCCCAACTTTAAGTAAAAAAAATTAACTTAGAATTGGGGCGTTATTTCAAAATCTACGGATGGCGAATTTGTCTCCACCAAAGCAGCTTGGTAGGGACAAATTTTCAACACTGATTGGACTTTTACAGAGCAAAACTATTAAATAGGCTGATGTTTTGTGTATATGTGCTGTAGGATTATTATCTACTAGTGAAAGGTACAACAAGAAGGACTAATATAAAGTAGGAGGGGCAAGTGTAGAGGTTGGCCTCGCGAGGGAAGTTGTGAAAGCCCTCGGAGACCGTTCCGTCAACACTAGCAAGCTAGTGTCGATGGAAGTTCCAAAAAATGAATGTGAAAAATCCCCAACTAAAAGCTAGGTAACCAGTTTTCACACTGATTAGAACAGAGAAGTGTATGTATATTTACCATCCGGTGTACCCGTTAATTTCCTAAAGTCAGGAATTTCTGTCTGATGCTTAACTATGTGGACAAATGTATCAACATCTACGGGTAGAAGTTCGACTGTTCAAATGCAGATGCATGAGACAGCCGAACACCAGATTGGGTTTCCCCAGGGCGATTTCCTAGATGGGTGGGGCCTATTAGGCCAACGAAAGCTAGAACAATTCCGTCTAGCGGCGGCTGCTGTGCGACGGAGTCCCCCGGTCTCCGTCACCCGCCTGCCCCTCGTCTGACATGGCGCTTGATCTTGATGCTGTCGTGCTCGGTGCTTGGCGCAGTGCAGGCTCCAGATGCGGCGGCTGGACTGAATGCATGCTGTCGAAAGATGCTGGTCCAGCCGCTTCGCCTCGCGCTTGAGCAGGCCCAGATGATCCATGTAGATCTTGTAGTTGCCGGGCGCCACCGATCCCAACGAGCCATAGACGAGGGACGAGAGATGGACCGTCGATCCTTGACTCGCGAGGTGGCGAAGAACGCTGGCATACTTGGTTGCCTTTTCTGCGCTTGCCTTGGCCAACCCTGAACTAGTGGGATCGTCTCGATCTTGCTGGTCGAGCGCAATCGCCAGATCGATGACCACAACCGTCCGCTTGTCGTGGCTGTAGAGCTGGAGGTCCGGCCGCAAAGCCGGACCAGGGAGACCCGGGACCGTCTGGTTTACACGAATCTCGGTGCGACCGTAGCGATTGTTGATGGACGCGTGGAGCGTGCGCTCGATTTCCTTTAGCGCTTCATCATGGCGACTACGAATAGCATCCATCGTACCCGGGCAGTGGTTTAGCACGTGAGCAAGTGACTTCTTCCACCTTCAACCCGGGTACCTGCACCGATAATGTGCGCGTAGACGTCTGAGCGAGAGTACATCGCTTGTATCCAGCATGTTGAGACGGGCGGCCACGGCAAAGCGGTAGTCGGTTTCCCACATGTCACGCGGCCGTGTGATGAATCCGCTGCCGACGCCTCCGTGCGCGCGCGCCGTATTCCCTTGATCCTTGTGGGAACACCATGCCCGCCAGCGCAAGTTCCTCAGGTGCTGCTTCACGTGTCGCAGCACATTTGCTGGTCCAACCACTCGGCGTGGTGGGGTACACGAAGCTGGAGTGGCTAGGCTGGTGTCCTGGATAACGGTTCGGCGGGCATGGTTGCGATCGTCAATCCAAACGTCTTGAGATTCTTGCGAACATCGACCCACAACGAGCCGATGTCACCATTACGCCGCTTGGGCGGAGCATGAGCTGACGTTACAAGCTCCCCATTCAGAAACAGCTCACACAGCTCTTCGCGTCTTTCTTGCCAATGGGCAAGGTCTAAGCGATGCCGAATATCGGCAATTTGGAAGATCTGCTCGCGCGCGGCACGACGGATGGCTGGGTCTGGTGAGTGCAAAATCTGCCATCCGTGTGCAATTTGCAACGCTGCGTGTAGATCCACCAGGAGAAACAGACCTAGACCTCCACGAGACACTGGAGCGTAGAAAAAGTCATTTGTCGCGTTCTTGGGCAAGGGCAGCAGGTGGCGAAGTCCCCGGCGAAGATGGAGATCGAAACTCTTCAAGTGTTGATCTTCATGCCGCAGGTGCCGGAGAGCGTACTCCACCCGGGGGTAGATGTACACTTTCACGGCTTTTATCACCTGCCATGGTGCGAGGCCAGATGCCATCAGTGCCGTTGCGTCCTGCTTCAGCGACTTGAGCTTGGGTGCAAGTTCAACCCGGCGACGAATGTTGTCAAAACCATCGCCGATCCCCAGATACGTGTACGACTGCATGTGCGTCATCGTAGGGATCATCGTGTCATCGAGCGTAAGCTGGAGGTCATCAGCCTCAACAGCACCACTACTGTTGCGTCGCACCCCCATACTGCGACACTTGGCAGGGTTGGCTGTCATGTTTGTCCAAGCCAGAAACTCTGCAACGAGTCCATGTTGCTTCGTGACGCCCGCCTTGCTGCTGATGAATATCTTAAGGTCGTCGGCATAAGCCGATACACCAAAGCGGTCATCACCCGAGAGCTGCACACCTGAATCTTGGAGTCGCTGGAGCGCATGGAGAAGGGGGCTAATAGCCGCTGAGAATAGGAGTGGACTCAGCGGGCACCCCTGAAACACCCCGACACGCTGCTTGATCGCTGCCGTTGATCCGTCGACAGCGTTGCCTACAAAGAACGCTGCGTCGGCGTAAAAGCCTTGACACATCTGGATATACTCCACTGGGACACCCATGCGCGTCAGATCGTCCCATAGCAGCTGTAACGGTACACTTCCAAACTCGTTTCGAATGTCATACCAGACTTCGTAGAGCGGGTGATGTTTGCGGCGTGCGTTGTCGATCAGTGTGGTCGCGAGGAAGTTATGCCCCCGCAACCATTCACCGCCCAAAATACCTTCCGCCCTGGCGCGTGACGATCGTTCGCTTCCAGCCGCCGCACCAACCGCCGCGAAAGAATTCCGGTGTATAGCTTGTAAATGGCTTGCTGGAGGCAGAAGGGCCTCCAGTTCGCCGGGTCATCACGCGCACTTTTCTTGTAAAGTAGACGTACCACGCCAAGTTTCCAACTCTGAGGGACCTTCTGATGCGCCCAGCAGCACAAAAAACTGCCTGAAGCACCGGCAACAGCTGGGCGGAAAATCGCTGGTACACGTCGTACCCGACCCCATGAAGGCCAGTAGCGGAGGCGCCACGCACATCCTGCAGCTTGACTTCAATATCGTCGAATGTCGGTGGCTCACTCAGTAGCTCCGTCAAACGTGTAGCAGCGGGCAAGCGATCCATTGCAGCGCGGAAGACAGCACCATCTGGAGCCTCCGCGTCGAATACGTGTCGTGGCGTATTAACGCCGTCGAAGAACCGCCAGAGATCGTCACTTGAGATGGGGCAGACGCCATCATCCACCTGCTCCTCGTCAGGAGTAGTTGGCCCCGTCTCTGGTGTTACACTTCCTGCTCGTGCCGCTCGCTCCGTACAGGCCATGGCCAGTATATCGTCAACACACTCCTTCTCGGCCGTGTCAAACTGATGGCGTAGAAGCTGCTGGCTGATGACCGAGCGGATACGTCCAACCCGACGTCGCGCTTTGTAAATTGCCGGCCTGTCTTGAGGTGATGCGCGTTCCAAGGCGTGAAGCTCGTCCAGGTCCTCATCGATGCGGTGTTCACGGTGGTGACGGGTGACTCGTGGGGGCCGCGGCATTCGTCGTTGCGCTTGCCTTGTACCAGGAGGCTGACCACCAGCTTGGCGAGTATGGCGCCGTTGCCGTCGACCCCGTCGCCTTCCTCAACATCTGCTCCGGTTGTTCGCATGCAATGCAGAAGTAGATCCATCGCGAGGGCCGTCCTCCCCCTGTTGTCGCTCGTCTCGCTTTGTCTGCCGGAGACCGACTGCAGATTGGTAGTAGACCGGGCCTGAGGTGATGAGGCGCGCCTGTGGACGCGAGCTGCCTGCTTGTAAGGCTGAAGCTTGTCGTACAGAAGATGCGGAAGGGCCGAAATATAGCCCTCCGCCGTCGCCCAGTCACTGGCGTCCGAGATCTTGGCGGACAAAGCAGCACCCAGATGTTCCACAACTTCACTCGCCGCCTCCATCTCGTCATCCTCAAGCTTGCGCAGTCGGGAGTCGTGAGCGGCGTGCAGGGACCTCGTGGGGACTCACCCGTATGGGCGTGTATACATCACCGTCGTCTATGTCTGCGGCGAGATCCTCAGTGGAGGCATCAGTATCCATGTGGCTTCAACCGGCTGGGCTGGACCAGCCGCCGGCGAGGTGGTGCACCCACTACCGTGGGGATGCACTCCGCATTCCATCAACGACCGCCGACGATCCAGCGCTTGATTGGCGAGGCGGTCGGCGTGACCGTTGGACTGGCGTTCCACGTGGTGAAGTGTGACACATTCAAGGCGCGCAATCTCCGCCTTCACCGCGTTGCGTAGGCGCCGTATGCGAGTGCTCCTCGTCGCGACGATACCACGCACTTGGCGAATGACAAGGATACTGTCACCCTCCACCCGCAACCTCGTCACACCGTGATCCGCTGCAGCCCGCACGCCGAGCAGTAGCGCCGTGTACTCGGCGGTGTTGTTCGTCTCGCCGCTGCTCGGCATGTAGTGCGAACCGGTCCACACGACGGGGCCGTTGGGCTGGAAGAGCGCCGCACCAGCACCACCAGGGCCCGGGTTGGCGAGGCAGGCGCCGTCAAACCGAAGAAGCCACTCGTCGAGGGTCAAATCGGGGTCGCCATGGACGAGCTAGCTGCAGAAGTCAGCGCAGGTACAGAAGGTGGCGAATCAGGGGTCTCAACATCGGGCGTCGATGGCACCAAGCGGTCAGCAATCCGGGAGTCGACCACCTTGCGGGGAAGGAAAGGACCCCAACGTGGCGCTGGTAGCTCGTCCAATCGGTCAGCGATGCGTAAAGCTACCAGAGCACGTGGAAGCGGAGATGACGAGCGGGTCGTCGATAATAATACCGTTTTGTCGTCATCGGTCACCTGTAAGACAACGGTGGAAAAGCTCACGAGAGGGGGGGACGCTGTGGGCTCCGAAACATCTTGGTGAGGCAGGGCAGGCACGACGATGGCGACCGCTGAGACGGTGGCCGTAGCGCCGACGACGGTGTGGCTTGATGCTCCTCCCGTCGTCGAAGCCGTAGCCAAAATAGTGCTCGAAAGGCTAGCACACGCTTGCGCGTGGGTTGCTGCAGCCAGCCTCGAAGC